TCTCTCTCTCTCTCTCTTCCTGCCCCCTCCCCCACGCACGCACACTTTTTCTCCTTCCTGCACTTCCTGTTCTACAGTACTCGATCAAAAAATACCGTACATTGTCTGTTTGTCTCGTCGAAACAGGAAATGGTCAGTTGTGTAACCTTATATTTCTACATCGATCGTTAATCACAGCTACACTACGTCGCCCCATTCCTTTCTTCCGTCCCCAACTACACTATATATAAAGGGTCAATTCACGGGAATCAGACTGTCTGACATTGTTCAACATTTACGTCTGTTTGTCTGTTAACAAAAAAAAGTCTCCGTTGTTGCTGTCGTGAAATGACTGCGGTTAGTAGACCCTATAATAGTGTGAGCTATTTTTTACTAATCTACATGTATCTAGTTAGTCCTGGGCTAAGGTGCTTGCTGTATGTCATGCCGAAGTATCAGAGGTGACCCCCGGATTATGCTGGCGTGATTGATCTGTGAATAACCTTTTTTCAACTGGAGTTTTTGTTACCATAAATCCTTAGATAAGCAGGATCAAGCACGAGGTCTATCCGAACAAGGGCAAAGAATTGGTAATTCCAGGATCGTTATTGCTTATGTCGATAACGCAATGACAACTGAAAGTAAAAGAAGAACAGGTCTTTCCAGGACCGCAACCCTGTTTTTTGTTTTTTCACCTTTTGGAGTTTGTTTCGGTTAGTGTTTTACAGTGCTCGCAACTGCATAAGGTCATATGAGCGAGCGGGACACATTAAACATTTTCAGTTTGGTAGGAATGTGGAATTTTGCCCTGGCGACGGCCGGAGCTTACTCTTATCGATTTTTGAACCTCCAAGGGATCTTTAACGAGCACAACTTGCTCACGGGACCTCCGAGATTTTTCATCGTTCTCCGAGAAGGCTTGATGTTCTATCTTACCTGCTATAAAATCAGGGGTGTGGTTGAAAGACAGCAGTAACAAGAAGCCGCGGAGTAGCAGTAGAAAGGCTGCAGAAAGAGTCAGGAACCCAGAGAAGGGGGGAAATGGGAAAAAAAAGGGGGGGGGGTAGAAATTGGAGAAGAAAGCAGGCGACAGAACGCGGTTAGAGAGCAGGAGAGGAAATGAAAGGAGAAAATTATAAAGAAAAAATTTCCGTTGCCGTCAGGTTTCGAACCCGGAACCTATTGAATGAGAAGCGAACACCGTAACCTCTAGACCACGAGAGTCCCTTGGCAGAATTGTATTTTTTTTTTACCTGTCCTTCATTATTGAGTTTTTTGGTTTTTTTTAGTAATAGGCCTAATACTAATAAACAAGAGTACCTTCGGAAGCTGTAACACCTACCCGAGGTGAGGCATACAATCTTATTCGAAAATATAACCAAAAAGTCAATACTTAAAATGTGCTGCGTTATCGTCATCCTCTTCTTCAGTTGTTAGGTTTGGAGCAGAAATTTACGGTCGTGTTACCCCATTTCTTCGTTGTCTGCCCTCCTGATCAACTAAGTTTTTCTGATTGTGCTGCTTGTCGTAAAGTTATCCAGGCCTTCTGTGTATGTTTTTCTCTGTCTTCCCCTGCTCTTCTTTTCCTCTTTCTTTCCCAACTGAAGCAATTTCTCAAGCCCATTTGTTCTATTTGCGTGCATAGAGCCAAAGAATCTCAATTGTCTCTACTTAATGATTCTGTAGTTTGAATATTTGCGGTCAACTATTCCTGAGATGTAGATTCTAGAGACCAGAGAGAAGAACACCAGAAAGAAGACGAAGGTAGGAGGCGAAAGAACCAGTTTTTGCACCTGTCTTTTAACAGATATAAATGAAGATATAGGCATCTGTTTCGGTGCCTAGTTCTTGGTTTCTCCGAAAAAGTGACAATTATTTTATTTTCGTATAAATCAACAACAGCAGTATAAAGCTGACCAAAAGACCAACTTTTTGTGAATTAAAAAGTGACGTTTATCTTTTCTGGGAGATCTTCTCCACCACATGCCAACCGGGCCCCACTTGGCTGAGATCTAATCTTTGTTCCCAGATGGATCTCGGCCTTCGTCCCTTCCCTCCTTTCAAGGGCATTCCATCTTTGGCTTTGTGTTTTAACATTGCGGACCGGCTTCCTAAGCGTGTGCCCAATCCACCGCTATCTTCCTTTTTCTTATTGCTAGGAGCAGGTTATTTATTCCACTTGGGGAACTTTCGAAGTAACATCAGGCCTGTTTCTTTTGCAGTTTCTGTTACTGGAGTACATTATACATGAATCTATTTTTACGCCTGAGAATTAGTTGTGATATTCATAAAATCTGTGGCACTCTGATTTTTTATAAGCATGCCGTTTTCTCAGTTGATATCATGCTCCACTATGGTACGGATGATCCTCAGTGAGGTGTCTTTAAACTTCGGATGTTTTTGGGCACCATAACAGAGCGTGATATCAACTGAGTTAACGGCTTGCTAATAAAGAAAAAAAGACCAAAGCTCTACAGAAAATTATGAATATCACAACAGGGCTGAACTTTCATGGATTCAGCCCTGATTCATTCACGCTTCAGCCCTGTTTGGTTCGGTCCTCTGAAAGAGGGCACAGTCGTTGATTTCGAAGGGGCCACCTCAAAACAATAAATAATAATTTAACATACATTGTTGAAAGGGCCGTAAAACACAGACAGTTACAAGATTTTACATATAATATTATTCTTTTGCTTTCCTCAGGGAGACCATGGGGGAGAGGCGTTGCCCGATCACCCAATACGTTTGATCAAAGGTGTTCCAACTGTTGTCCAGAAAGAGGCGTCTCGTATCGGGAGTTCAGACATCGGTGACATCATGAACCTGAAAAAGACGAAAATGTTTAAAGTCATCGCCACGGAGGGCCGCGAGAATATTTTGAAGGTAGTGCTGTCCTTTTGTCATAGGGGAAAAGAATCGGGGGAATCGCTTTTGTTGTTGTTGTTTTTTTAATGATGATGATGATGATGTTGTTGTTGTGGTGGTGGTGGTGGTAGTGGTTTTGGTGGTGAAGGTGTAGTGGTGGTGGTGATTGCTATCGTTGCTGTTGTAGTTAATATTGATGGTCTTTATTACAAGTATTTTTGTTCTTGTAGTTGTTGTGCTTGATGATTGTCTTTTAAAAAAAAATTGTTGCTGTTGCTATTAATGACGGTGAATTCTTCTCTTTTTGCAGTCGTTGTTGTTTCCGTTTTTAGTTATCAATGTTGTTATTATTGTTGTTGTTTCTGCTGCTGCTGCTGGCTGGCTGGCTGCTGCTCCTGCTGCTGCTGCTGCTGCTGTTGTTGTTGTTGCTGCTGTTGTTTTTGTTGTTGTTGTTTTTGTTGTTGTTGCTATTGCTATTACTGTTGTTGCTGCTGGTGGTGGTGGTGTTCATCACATTGATACTTTGGTTAGTGCGTCTGTTCCTTGTGTTGAAGCTGTAGAAGCTAGAGCTGCGAGAAGCGCCGCTACTACATCTGCCAAGATAGCATAACTTACTTGCCTTAGTCCCTAAGTCGCACATCATCTCTTTGTTGAAGGACGACGTAGATTTCGCTGGTGTGACATTTGTCGTAAGGTGCTGGACACATCTGTAACCCGGCAATAACTTATACCCCCCC